CTGCAGAGACACAGCACACACCTGCAGACACAGCACACACCTGCAGAAACACAGCACTACAGATTAAGAAACTCGATTTAGGAGTTTCTTTTAAAACCTTCACTCAAGCTGGGAGGGTGGTGGCACACACCTTTAATCCCAGCACTTGGGAGGCAGAGGCAGGCGGATCTCTGTGAGTTCGAGGCCAGTCTGGTCTATAAGAGCTAGTTCCAAGACAGGAAAAGCTACACAGAGAACCCCTGTCTTGGAAAAAACAAACAAACAAAAAATCCTTCACTCAGATATCTGCCTTCCCTACATCCTATCATCCCAACCATCCATGGAGCCTGTGCTTCCCCATGACAAAGGTCCTCAGACTGATGTGGAGTATTTGTGGGGTTTGAAGGAGGACCAAACTTTCTCCTCCAAGCCCCCCACTGCCTTCAGACATGATCTTCTGAACATTTTATTTGAATCCAGAAAAGATGGTGTAGTGACAGAGCAGTCAGCCAGTTAGAGCTCATCAGGCCCTGACGGCTGCCGTAAGAGGTGCCGAAAGCGCGTTGGCAGTAGAGGCTGTTCTCATAGCTGGTCCTGGCTTGGGCAGCACGGGCTTAAGAAAATTTGAAAGCTAGACTCTGGAGAGGGTGCCATTTGTCTGTAACATCAGGTTGTCTCTTTGGTTGGAAGGCAAGAGGGAAATGGGTGCCGTAGGCTGAAGTAAGAAAGCCACCCTCAAAGCACACAGTTCTGACGTGGGGTACAGGGTGTTGCACTCCTCTGATTCCAGCACTTAGGAGGCAAGGAGTTCAAGGTCATCCTGGGCTAGGGAGTCAGCTCAAGCCAGCCTGAGCTACCTGAGACCAGGCATATTTATGCCACCACGGTTCTGCAGTCCAGTGACATTTCTATTTGACCAGACTCACTACTCAAGTGGGAGATGTGAGGCCTGAACAATGGCTGAAATTTGATTCCAAATTCTGAAGTCTTTAGAAAATCAAGAATTTTAAAACTATGATAGAATTTTCAGGAATGGAAACTTCTGTAAAGTCCATACAATTAGGGAGAAAATTAAGTGCAAACTAGCTTTATAAATCTTCACTGATAAGAAATACAGTATTTTAAAAAATACAAGTGAATTAATATTGTGACTAACAAATACACAACAAGTAGAGAGCCACCTGAGAGACAAAGAGAAAGAGAGAGCCCTTCCTCTCTCTAAAACAACGCTCAAGTCTGCTGACAGAAGACCATGCTCCTGAGTCCAGTACCCCCAAAAGCTATTGGATGAATTCCCACAACAGGGTTAGCAATTTGATGTGAGACATACTTCTGTATAAATGTTGTTTTATTAGTTGATGAATAAAGCTGTTTGGGACAATGGTTTAGCAGAGTAAAGCCAGGCACAAAATCTGAACAGAGATATATATAGAGAATAGGTGGAGTCAAGAATATGCCATGTAGCTGCCGAAGGAGAAAGACACCAGAAAACCTTACCGGTAAGCCACAGCCTCACGGTGATACATTGATTAATATAAGTGGGTTAATTTAAGATGTAACAGCTAGGTAATACACCTAAGCTATTGGCCAAGCAGTTGCTGTAATTAATATAGTTTCTGTGTGATTATTTGGGTCTGGGAGGCTGGGAAACAAATGAGCAGTTTCCACCTACAACAATTTGTTAAGGAGAATTGAAGATTATATCTTGGAAGCTTGAGAGATGGCTCAGAGGGTAAGAGTGTTTGTTATACAAGCATGGAGACTTGAGTTCAAATCCTCACAGACAATGGGTAAAGGTAAGTGTTGCCAAGCCTGAAAACCTGATTGCAATCCCCAGTACTCACAATGGTGAAAGGAGAAAGCCAGTTCCTGCAAGTTGTCCTCTGTCCTCTACACACACCCACACACACCACAGATACACATACCCCAATGCACGCACACACACTAAACAAACAAGCATAATTCAAAACATCTGGAGGGAAAACAAAACATCTTAAAAGCCAAGTGTTGCTTGGCATGATAGCACATGTCTCTAATCTTAGTATTCCAGAGTCAAAAGCAGGTGGATCCCTGAGTGCTCCAGGCCAGCCTGATCTATATAGCAAGTTCCAGGGCTACATAGTAAGGTACTGTCTAAGAAATAATAATAATAACAACAATAAACATGTGTTAAAACAGGCATCACTATGTTTGTAACCCAGCACTGGGTTGTGAAGACTGAGATCCCAGGATTGCGCTGGCAGTCAGCCTCACTAAAATGGTGAGCTCCAGGGTCAGTGAGAGGCCCTGTCTCAAGGCAATAAGGTAGGAAGTGACAGAGAAACACACCCACCATCTTCCTGGCTTCCACAGGCTCTCACAGGGCACACACCAGCCCCCGCATGTGCATACACCATTACCCCTACACATGCACAGGAGATAAGGAACTGGTGCTTTGTACATGATGGGCAAGCACTTTCCCATTGAGCTCCCTCACAGACTCCCTTTTATTTTTCTGAAACAGGATCTTGCTTACATAGCCATGGTTATACTTGCTCTATAGCCCAAGCTGTCCTCAGACTTGCAATTCCCCTGCCTTAGCCCCCATCTCCCGGTGTAGAGACTACAGGTTAGCACCATTACGCTTGGCTGCTACCAATCTTTTTTTCTAATAACCCTTCTCTCTCTCTCTCTCTCTTTCTCTCTCTCTCTCTCTCTCTCTCTCCCCCTCTCTCCCCCCCCCCCCCGCTTCTTGTAAACACTCAGTTACTGCTTCAGAGCCTGCCCACCTGCCTGCCCCCATGTTCCCTGCCATGATGGTCATAAAGTAGAACCTGATAAAGGAAAATGCCCAGTATCCTCTTCTGGCCTCCACAGCCACGCACACAGCACCCTCACATATATAAACACACTGATTAAAACAGTCTTCAACCAAGTGTGGTAGTACGCACCTGTAATCCTAGCACTTGAGAGGCTGAGACAGGAGGAGTAAAATTTCCAGGGTTGGCTTGGACTATATGGTACTCTTGAGGCTAGTCAATGAGGAGACACTGTCTCCAAATAAACCCCTCTTTAAGGGGCTGCTGAGATGACTCAGTGCTTCAAAACTCTTGCTGCCAAACTTGATGACCTAAGTTCAATCCCCAGAACCCACATGATGAAGAAGGGCGGAACCAACTCCTACAAGATGTCATCTGACCTCCACATATACATCTTAGCACACATGTGCATACACCCACCTACCCCCACCTCCACACTAAATAAATGTAAAAAAAAAAAAACCTAAAAAAAAAACCCTAAAAAAATTTTAAAACAGTATTGATGTGGGATTCCCCTCTGTATGCTGTGAATACCATTGGTTAATAAAGAAGCTGCTTTGGGCCCACACAGGGCAGAGTAGAGCTAAGAGGGCAGTGTGGGTCAGGTGGGGGGGTGACTAAACCGAATGCTGGGAGGAGGAAGATGGAGTGAGTGAGAAGCCATGGAGCCTCCACCAGAGGCAGGCACACTGGAACCTTGCTGGTAAGCCACAGCCATGTGGCAATACCCAGATTAATAGAAATGGGTTAATTTACGATATAAGAGTAAGCTAGAAATACACTTAAGCTATTGGCCAAATAGTACTACAAATAATATAGTTTCTGTATGATTATTTTGGGTCTGGGCAGCCTGGAAACAAACAAGCAGCCTCCCCCAACACAGTCTTCCAAATTCTATAAAGCTTGCCTACTTTGGAGTACAAATTTGCCCAAATATCTGGACAGTGAAAAACTGATTGTCTTAGTTAGGGTTTCTATTGCTATGAAGACACAACATGACCATGGCAACTCGTATAAAGGAAAACATTTGATTGAGGTGGTTTACAGTTCAGAGGTTTAGTCCATTATCATCATGGTGGGACATAGCAGTATGTAGGCAGACATGGTGCTGGAGAAGTAGCTGAGAATTCTACATCTTACATAGACAACAGGAAGTGGTCTAAGACACTGGGTGTGGTTTGGGCACATATGTGATCTCAAAGTCTGCCTTCACATTGACACATGTCCTCCAACAAGGCCATACCTACTCCAATGAGGCCACACTTCCTAATAGTGCCACTCCCTCTGGGGACCATTATCTTTCAAACCACCACACTGATGGTAGGCTTTGTAACTTTTTTTTTTCAGAAACAGGGTTTCTCTTTATATCCCTAGCTGTTCTGAAAGTCATTCTATTGACCAGGGTGACCTCCAACTCAGAGATCCACCTGCCTCTGTCTCCCAAGTGTGGGGGTTAAAGGTGTACACCACCACCACCCAAATGCTTTGTAACTTTCTAAATTGTTCAAACTTGTTGGGCTGAAGAGATCATTCAGCGGTTAAGAGCACTGGCTGCTGTTCTAGAAGTCTTGAGTTCAATTCCCAGCAACCACATGGTGGCTCACAACCATCCGTAATGAGATCTGGTGACTTCTGGCCTGCAGGCATACAGGCAGGCAGAACACTATATACATAATAAATAAATTTTTTTTAAAAAAGGAAAAAAAATTAGTCACTGCCAGTGGTGGCACATGCCTTTAATCCTAGCACTCAGGAGGCAGAGGCAGGCAGATCTTTGTGAGGGAAGCCAGCCTGGTCTACAGAGCCAGTTTCAAGACAGTCAGATAGTTACACAGAGAAGCCCTATCTCAAAAAAACAAAAAAAAATTAGTATTTCTAACAGAGTTGGTATTTTTATTTATCACAAAAACCTTGTTTTGCAAACAGTTGCTAAAACTTGGAACCATATCTTTCTAGAAGGAAACTCCCATGGGATGAGGTCCCAGTGACTACAGAAGATCATCAAATCCAGTGTGGACTGGAAGTCCAATTGGAGTGATTAGCAAACATTGTCATCCCGCACAAGGCAGTGTTGATGTCTTACTTAGGAATACATTTCCCCATCTGGAGTCCTATGAAATACTGACAGAGAGGAGGTGTCCTCTAGGGAAGGAGTGGCCAGTATGCTTGGGCAGGACAGGAAAGGTGACAGCAGACCAGGCACTCCGAGGGGCTGATCCCCCAGAGTTCTGTTCCAGACACACTTGCACCTTTTCCTTTCTCTTCTCTCTCTTCCCCCTCTCTGGCCCTCTCCCTCCAAGATCTCACCATGTAGCCCAGGCTGACCTGGAACTCAGATAAGCCTGCCTCTGCCTCCTGAATGTTGGGACTAAAGGCGTGCACTCGGCATCTTTCTCTCTCCTGTAAGGCACCCCATCAGAGCAAGCAGTGGTGGCGCATACCTTTAATTCCAGCATCTGGGAGGCAGAGGCAGGCACATCTCTGAGTTCAAGGCCAGTGTGGTCTACAAAGTACCAGGACAGCCAGAATTACACTGAGAAACCCTATCTCAAAAAATTAATTAATTGATTAATTAATTAAATAAAATAAAATAGGCACCCTAGCAGAAGCAAAGACCTCTCATAGCTAACTTTCCTGTGTAGTGGTCTAGCTCAGCAGCTTTGGTGGCATCCTCACGGGTGAGTCTCACCTGTACTTAGCTCAACAGCTTTGGTGGCGTCCTCACGG